GTGTCAAGCAAAATGAAGCTGAAGACATCCTCAGAGATGTACATTCTGGTGAGTGTGGGCCTCACTTCTAAGGGAGGACATTGGCACACAAAATTCAGTGATAGGGTTATTTTAGGTCCACACCCTTGAAGGATGTGGAAGAATTTTATAAGAGATGTGAGCAGTGCCAAACATATGCCCCTTGCAACACCAGCCGGCCCACAAGTTGCAGTTGATCATTAGTCTTTGGCCCCTCATCGTCTAAGGACTTAACATACTTGAGCAATTTTCACCTTTGTGCAAATTCCTCCTAGTCACTGTGGACTACATTTTGAAGTGAATTGAAGCCAATACGCTTGCTCAAATTACAAAGAAGGAGCAAAAGATAGCTGGGAAAACTTGCTTCTATCAACTTTATGGGCCATCCAGACCACCCCATCGACGACGACCGGTCAAACTCCTTACATGTTGTCGCATGGGATGGAGGTCATGTTGCAGGTCAAGTACAACCTCCACAACCAGTAGTAGAAGGAAGACAAGAGTGGCACTAACACTCGACTTAACAGAGGAGATTCAAACACTATTGGCCTTGATGGGAAGAAATTAAAAGGTGCACCACAAATTACTACAACCAGCTCGTTAAGGAGAAAATCTTTAGCTCAAGGGACCTTGTCTTGAAGAAAGCCAGTCCAGCCGCACAAGACCATAAGATGGACAAACTCGACCAAACCTAAATGGGGGCATTCATCATCAACCGACGAGTAGTGCCAAGAGTCTACAAACTAAAGGTATACACCGGGAAGGGAGTCTTATAAACTTGGAGTGGAGACAATGTAAAATCATTTTTTCCTTACAAAATATTCATTATAGCCAAAAAATCAATTAAGATGGTTTCACTACATGTACTTGTAATATTTATTGAGACAAAATAATACAAATATTATTAAACTAAGTTTTTATGCAAAATTTTCAATTATGGTTAAGCACTCGGGGAACTCGTGATCCCCGGTGACTCTGAGCTATACTACACTCAGGGAACCGATGACAGAATAACAAAATCAACAATGACATGTGATGTCAGACTAGTAAAACAACCATCTAAAATTCGATGACATAAGATGTCTAATCAGTAAAATAACCATCTAAAATCCGACAATGAAACAAGATGTTTGATCGGCAAAACAACGACCTAAAATCCAACAACTACATAAGATATCCAATTGGTAGAAAACTCAAAAAGGTTGGCTCATAGACAATCACTAGAATTTCTACTCTCTAGCTTAGCAACACATAGTCCCAAAGGTGGTTCCCTACTTCTTAGCAACAAGATCTGCACTGAGTAGCGTGTAAGTCACTCTGGCGACAAGTTTCATTGGTTACCCCCATGAAGATAGCAACAAAATCCCCACCTAGCAAAATGTATGGGCCGACCAAGGCATTTGCTTAGTTTAGTGAAGGGGGTGGGAGAAAAGGGTAAGTTCTGGATTGAGTAGTCAACATAAACCATATATGATAATAATATCATATCCAAATATTTTGTTAGTTGTCATGCCCCTAACAACCAACATGTAAAAGGAAAATAAAAAGGAACATAAGTTAAAAACAACATGTAAAAGAACCAAAATAATTCCTTCATTTGATATGAAAAATTTTTACAAGTTTCATTTTGTCGACCCCTTTACAATAAATGTCGGTCGAGACCACTCAAAATAATTAAAAATTTTTTTTAAGTTTTACAGGAACAAACAAAAAAAATAGAAAGAAAGAAACAAAGGAGTAGTCAACCGGCCAACGCTAACATCCTCTCCGCCTGCTCCAGTATATTCCTTATTGTATTATGTCGGGTTAGAAAGAATGTTGGACAACTGCTCTAGGTCGGACACTTTGGGTCAACCGGCCCTCTTTTACAAAACTATGGACGGTCAAGGATATGCCTACTTGAAGCTGTTGGGAGAGACCTCTGACTTGCTCACCATCTTTAGCTTTTTGTTCTCCTCCTCTAGGTTGTGATTGTTTATTTGTATTCCTTATTTTCCTTTATTTGACTCTCGGTGTGGAACTGTAATAGCTTCTCTGTTTGGATGGATCTTTTTCCAACCTCCCTCCATTAGGCGAGCACTTTGATCATCAACTTCTCGGTGGTCACCTTCTTCTCTTCCCTTCAGTAATGAGTTTTGGTTCAGTAGTGTGTAGCTGACTATGTCATTAAATGGAATTAGTCCCTGGTCTGGTCGAAGTCCACTCCCTTCAAACTCTTCAGTTGTTGCTCAAAGGAGTCAGATCAAATGACCTCTGCTAAGAGCCAGAGGTAGTTCATCGCCACTAGCGTATCCATATACCAGTCTCTCTCAATGTCCACTAGGGAAAAACATCATGCAAAACTTGACCAAAAATTCAAGCTCTTACCCCATGGATGAAACTCACCTAGGGGAGAACCTTTCATTTATGTCAAGGGGGAGGGGGCGAAGATACATCTTCAATGAGGGCCTTCCCCTCTCAGTGCAGTATCACCCTATAATTGATTAGACTACGTCTCATCATCAATATCAACATCACCATCAGCCTTTGAACTCGAATCCAACTGCATGAGCCAGGGGTGACTCACCTCACCTCTTGACTAAGTGTCTATATAAGAGATGTTCAGCGGTCAGGTTTTTTTATCATCATCGATCAAGGTCAACCTCCTCTCCGGAAGAAAATGAGAGTTTTCAGAGGGATTCTTCCCGATGAACTCCAAAGGCACCTGCATCAGTCGAAAAAACCACACAGTCAATCTCTACTCTCCAAAAATGAATTTAATTAAGTGATTTTGATGGGTAGAAAAGAAACAAATTACCTGTTACTCCAGCCTGAGAGGGAATTAGCAATGGCTGCGAGCAGGTGGCAGCAACCGGCTGTGATTGGGCAACTTTTGCCCTCAGTTTCTTCTCAGCCACCTTGATAGTAGCCTCTAACCTCTGCTTGGCCTCACGACATCAGAGGCTTCTCATAAGCTGTCAATCATGGTGTTGAATTTCTCACTCTACAGGGACATGTTCAAAACATCAACATCCAGGTACTGGAGCTGCAACAACTCTTGGCCCTCGATAATATGCCTATAATCTCACAAGAAGTTGGGTAGTTGCTTCATCTTTTTTGGGGAGCACGCGACAGTTCGAACGCCTACCACCATTCTCCTTGATAAGAGCCTACCAGGAACTTCCTCTTTCAGTCTTTGATTTTGTTTTCTACTCCCATGAGGCGAAGGTGTATACCCATGGAGAACATGGAGTAGCCGTCTCGACTGATCTTAAAGTTGAAAGTAAGAGAAAAGGTCGACCGATCATGTGATGCAAAATTGCCAAAGAAAGGCCACAAAAGTCATTATGGCAGCAATAGAGTTCGAAATCACTTGTGCAGGAATGACGACAAATTGATTAAGGATCACCTGCAACTCCCGACAAAACGACAGTCAAAGCCCACATTTGAACTGATCTATTTAAGAAACTAAGTCACTGTAATAAATTTCAATCACTGAGCGTTACTTTTGATCGACCCCAACATCATGATATTTCTGTAAATGCAAGAACCTAAAAGACTCTCCACTTGGAGAGCCGACAAGATAAAATTTTCTTAGGCTGAAACGATGTCAATAAGCTCTTTAGAATATTTGGGCACCATGAGAAAGTTGAGAGAACCGACAAAAGAGGCGATAATAAAATGATCACTTGCAAATTTCATAAACTGAGCCCTACTTATAGGGTAGGCGTGGAAGCGAACCTTCTCAAAAAAGATGAAGTCACCTGCCTAAAAAATAAAATAATAAAAATCAGACACACAAATTGAGACAAAAATAATTTAATTTTTTATTTATTGAATATTTACATCTCATAACTTAAAAACTACTCAAGAAAATAATTTAAGAAGCTATATACATTCTCCCTAACCAAGAAAAAAAACTCTCACTCGAGTTGTCTTTTGTATATAAGTTCTTCTCCTAACCTAAATCTTTCAAATTGTTTTGACTATAGCTGAATCTCATCTAGAACTTGCTTTTGCTATGCCTGGTGAGCCTAGATTCAACTAGACGACTCTTAGGGTCATGGAGGTATTCTTAAGTTCAAGTGTTGGTTTTGTTGTTTAGGAGAGCTATGATGGATTCTTTTAGCTTTCTCGATGGGCTCAATCAACTTTGTCCTTCAGAGGGCAGCTTATAAGTGCGACAATGTTTTTGAAAACGCCGCATAACTGTTTGATTTGCAATTTTTTTGAAAACGCTGTCTGTCGCGTTTGAGTTTTTTATGCTAAACACAGGTCGCGGGTCGACCTTGGGGTCATGTTTCAGAATAAGCTCTTATCCTGAAATATAAAAGCAGCACCATACAGTTTTTGGCACAGTATAACTCAACTCAAGTTTTTGATATTTGAGACTGGCATAGTATTCTTTTGATTCATTAATGAAATTCCAAGCTATTCGGGGCGGCTGCCAGCTAGGGGTGTAAACGAACCGAACACGAACGAACAAAGCTCGTGTTCGTGTTCGGTTCGTTTAAAATTTAGTTTGTTTGAAATAAGCTCGTGTTCGTTTC